TTCGCTGACATCGCACGCCTGCTCACAGAACTGCTAAAGAAATGTGGCTTATGTGCGGGGACCAGAACAAGACAGAGCATTCGTTGAACTGACAACCAGACTTAAGATCCCACCAGTTCTCGGTCACGTTGATATATGCGCTCTAACGGAAGTGTGTACCGATGCCTGCGGCCACGGAATCGGAGCCGGTTTGGCACATTGACAGCATGGTTGCGAGCGAATTATTGCATACGCTAGCCGTATTTTATTGCCAGAAGAATGAAATTACTCCATCACGGAACGTGAACGCCTCGCGCTCGTCTGGGCAGTGGGTAATTTTCGGCCACATTTGTATGGATGTCATTCATGATTGTCACTGATCACCACGCCTTATACTGGCTGTCGTCCTTAAAAGATCCTAGTGGACGTCTCGGCCGGTGGGCTCTACAGCTACAGGAATATTCCTACACGGTTGTCTATAAATCAGGCCGCCACTATGAGGATGCTGATTGCTTGTGGCGTCATCCAGCAGAACCAGCAGACTTTTCTGGGAGCGATGAGTCTACTTGCGTTTCAGCACTTTCCGGGTTCAGCAACATCGGAGATCAGCAACGCCGTGACCCTCACCTCAGAAGTATAATCCTTCGGCACAGTGGTCCCACAACTCCTCCGTCTCTTCGTATGTACCTGCTCCAAGATGGTGTATTATATCGCTAAAGCATTCATACTGACAGACCTGAGCTGCTGTTGGTCATACCACAACCACATGCGCCAGACTGTTCTCGCACAGTTGCATGATATTCCGACAGCTGGTCACGTGGGAGTTTCAAGAACTTACGCCGCCTCATGCAAATCCTGTCAACACCGCAAAATACCAGCAGCCCTTCCAGTGGGACGCCTTCAGCCCATTCAGATCGCATCCAAACCATTTTATAGGGTAGGTCTTGACTTACTAGGACCGTTCCCTTTATCCGCCAGCGGAAACAAGTGGATAGCAGTCGCCACGAATTACACCACTCAGTATGCCATCACGCGGACCCTTCCAACCAGTTGTGCGACCGACGTCAATGACCTCCTCCTGCTAGACATCATACAACACCACGGGGCTCCTCAGGAACTGCTTACTGATCAAGGTTGCTACTTTTTATGACAAGTTATCCAAGACATATTACACTCTTGCGCTACAAAGCACAAGTTCACAACGTCGTACCACCCTCAAACCAACGGGCTCACAGAGCGGCTAAATAGAATCATCATGGATATGCTCGCCATGTACGTTTCTTCCCATCATCGTGACTAAGACTCCGCCCTCGCATTTGTCACATTTGTCTATAATACGTCCTGGCATGATACTGCAGGTTCCTCGCTGTTCTTCCACCTGTATAGACGAGAACCTATGCTGCCTTTTGATACGCTCCTTCCTGCCGTTAGCCACGCGTCAGAATATGCCCGTGATGTGATCTCTAGAGCTCTAGAGGCACGTGAGATTGCTCGCCTGCGTCTAAGCGATTCGCAGGAACGACAACGACTGGTCTACAATGCGTGCCATCGCGATGTCCACTTCTGTCGTGGTGACACAGTCCTTCTCTGGACACCGTCACGGCAAGTTGACCTGTGGGAAAAGCTGGCTTCGCCGTACTCGGGTCCGTACCGTGTGGTGCGCCAAGTCACCGACGTGACATATTAAATCGAACCTCTTAACACCATCAGCGTGCGATCTTGTTCTGACGTTCACGTTACTCGGCTAAAGCGATATTACTCGCACCAACCAAGCACCGAGACGGTGCCTTCACCGTCAGGGGTGATGCTACGGGGTGCCACAGATGAACATAATAGAAAATAGTACGATGTTTAGTGCGAGCTCGTGCAGACTGGGCTCCATATTGTATGCCTGCCTCTTTATATAAAGTAAATGTATTTTTCAGATGCCTTCTCCTTGTAACAACACATATATATATATATGCGTTGACAGTGCCATGCAAAAGAGTAGTTTTCTGTGTCTGTGTCCATGTCGTTCGCTCTTCGTTTTCTACGCTGTGCGCGCGAGCATGGTGTCACTACGCGCGCATGGTAGGGCTCCCAATGAGGTTCAGCTTTGCTTTTTCTTTTGCTTTTTTTTATTTATGCGGACAGCCATATCGTCACCACCGAGGGCATGTCGGATTAGGCACTGATGGAAACTCTCCGAGACTATGGTGACGACGGATCTTCGAAGGTCGACTCTTCACACGCTTCAGTTTTGTGTCGCAACGCGAATTCGCAGGCTTTTAGCCTTCGTGATTTGCTGATTATTTCTGACAACAACACGACAGTGCGTTGAATGCAATGCAATGAACAGGATAGCATAAAATTGTAATATTATACGAAGTAAGGCTAGCAGACAACTCTTTTGGATTCGATATTGCGCAACTCCTACAAAACTCTGGCGTGAGCAAATACGGCACCTTTAGGGAGAAGCGCTCTTTTTACACAGTCCCTTCGTGTTGAAAGCGCACTGATAATTAATGAGATAGCATGCGCACCAGAGATTGGGATCGCCCGTAAAATCAATGTTCATTGTTGCTACTCGAGCGATCCCCCATCCCGCGTTTTTTCATGCATGTTCAAGACGGGTGGCTGCCTTTCTGTTTGAGCATTCAATGGGAGTTCCAACACGTCGGTGTTGTTATCTTATGTGCCCTCCAGGCGATAAAGATGGGCCGGCTTATTTGATCTCTACTTCACCAGAGCTCATACACTCTTACCCGCTCGTAAATGTTACGGAACATGGCGGCGACGGCGAAAACCTGCCATGAGTGTCCATAGAATTGCTATAGCAATAATAACGCAGCTTTTGACCGCTAGTTAAGTATTTTGTGTTAGCTTTGCCTTTAGTCCCCCATTTGTTATATTTGTGCATTTATTTTCAGAATTTTCGTACTGAACCTGCATATAACGATATACTCCTAATAACAAATTTTTATGGTAATTTATTATTTTTGTTATTCCCAGGTTTAATTGCAATAGCCATTCGTTGTAAATGTGAGCCTTTATATGGCGTAGAGCTCTAGCAGGACATGCTTAGTACTAACATAAGTGAAAGATACAGAAAGAAAATGTAAGTGACAATCAAAACATCGAAAGCATTGGCTGGTCAGTGTAGCATGCATCCACAACTTGCAGTGTTAGTCAGTGCGTTCGTGTTTATATTATGTATATTTCTTAACATTTATTTGGTAGTTACTACAATACAGGTGAAAGACTACCAGTACAGTTGAACCACTCCATTATTAGAGGCATGCACCAGGCAGCGATACTTTTCTTTTAAATCAGGTGTCTCTTATAGGCAGCGTACCATGTATGCTTTTTCTTATAAATCCCTATTTCGATCTAGCCACATAGGTGTGCCTCATACCCATTTGTCTCTTACATCGCTTTTTCTTATAAAGGGGTTTGACTGTACTTCCCTTGGTTTTATTGTCAGTTGGTTTACATTCGGATTGTGTCTGACAACGAATGGTGAGCACTTAAATTTTATTCATTCATACCAATCTGTGCGCATTTGGTGGTTCTGTCAGTGGGGTGAATATAGTTGCCATTAGAGTCCTCAGTTCACATGCTTGTGTCCTGCTACCCCTTCAATGACAGCCATTGTGGATGGGCGGAATTCAAGACACATCATCCTGACAACGTCGTCATGGCATTGCACCTCTGCCTCCCTGTTCACCTTCCCATATCTTCTTCCTTTTGCTTGTCGTCTCTTGTTTCGTGTGTATATCTGTAAAGTCGAATCTCATTGATTTGAACGCACTTAATTTGAACTTCCGGTTAATTGGAACTCACGGTGAGGTCCCGTCAAAGCTATGTGTATTCCAATGGGCGAAAACGCTCTGTAATTCGAACACGTGAGCACTTGCTACTGTTAATTTGAACATACCGCGCTCCGAAAATGCTCTCAACACCATGCCCGATCCCGCAGCGGCACCTCTGCCACCTCAATGCTGTGCGTGAAGAAAAAGCTGTGGCGGAATATTTGTTCTCTCTCAAATGCTGATCTGCAACGCGCCTGTGCCATGCTTCTTTCTTCTTCATTCCTGCCACGTAGAGATCCTTCTCCTTTCAATGGCATGCACAGAGAAAGAGGAAAAAAAATAATAATAATAAAGCTGTCGCAGGGTGTTGGCTCTCTCTCTAATGCCGATCTGTGATCTGCCGGGACCACGCTTCCCCTTTTTCTGTCCCTGTCACGTAGAGACCCTTGTCGTTTCAATGCCTCATGCGCATAGAGCAAAAAAAAAAAAAAAAAGAAGCCGCCTCAAATGCTGATCTGCTGCTCTCCACGTGGAGACGCTCCTTCTGTCTCGTCATGAGCTGGCCATGCTCCGGCTGCCGGAGCTGCGGCGCAGAGGATAGCAGCAGAGACGCAGTCGTTACCAGCGTCGTTAGGCATGTCTTTAGAGAGTGTTGGTGCTGGACATTATCGCGCGCAATCTCTCTTGCCAGGACAATGCTGAAGCCGAAGTATAAATGCTTGAAAACTGCATGCGAAATTGGTTGACACGCTTCAAGGCAAACGTGTGCAGACATGTATCCCCGATTACTTCAATCAATGGCTGATGTCCTGTGATTTGTGAATAAATGTAAGTCTTCTGAAACTTCCCCCTCGTGTGTTAGCTCAATGCACATGCGCCACTGGGTGGTGAGCCCTCCATTCATTTAGCTTTCATTAATTCGAACTTCTTTTAATTCGAACAAATTTTCGGGCCCCTTCGAGTTCGAATTTTGGAGATTTGACTGTATATGCATGCACGCCTATTTCGTGCTGTGATATTTTTGGTTCGTTAGATGAATAATACATTAGAGTATTTACAATTTAATTTATTTTCAGAATTATCAGACGCCAGATGCAGTTCGAGCATAAAAGTTGCAAACAAAAATTTGGCTGTCAAGGTTCTTTTGGTCCAAGGTTAGATAGTGTTAAGTTGTTTGAAACGTACGCAATGTCAAATAAAATATGGAGTGCCTTTCTTGATTTCTTGCAGGGAGCCGCGTAGAGGCACTGGTGGTGAGGTGGCTCACGAATTCAAGAGCCTGCTTGCTCAGATGTACTACAACGATAAAAGCGTCGCACCAAAAGGGTTTAAGGTGGGTGTTGTCATATTTAATAGCATGATGCTAGAGGAAGGCAGCATCCAGCACCTTTGGAGACATGTCTTCATGCAGGGAAGACTGACGAATGACTTGCACCAGACAAAAAAGCCTGGCCGCCAAACCATGGTAGCCACATTGCCTATTAACGACAGTTCTCAGCGCTCGAGGATCACGAGGCCAGCACTCACACTAGTTGGGGAATGAGGTGCCACAGGGTTGTGCATGATTCCCACAGTTATATAGCTAGCACACATAAATTTAACTCTTTCGTTACGACGCCTATTCAAATCAGTCACAAGTGATCGACGGTTTGGATAGTCGATTTTGGCATGTTAAATTTGTTCTGGTCCACCCAGCGCTTTCTAGTAGTTAGTTTAGTCACTCAACTTTCAGAACCAATTTGAATTTGTCTGTTTTGGTTACATAGAGATATTTAACAGACCTTTGCGCTAACTAATGTGCGTTTATTGTTGGAAAAGTGCGCGAGGCTGGCGAACTTGTAAAAAGCGCGTGCCCTCGTGATTATGCTATAGCAACACCAAATCATGTCATCAAAATATTCTTTGCAAGTCAAATATTGAATTAAAGTGTCAGCTTTGCAATTTAACAGTGTCGAGTAGTAATAATTGCCAGAAATTGTGCCAGCTATTCAATAGAGAGTTGTTGCTTGAAGTCTGGAAAAATTCATTCCACAAAAAGTATTTCAAAAGGTCTGTCGCATGTTTATAGTGTAGGCCTTCTCTGACAGTTTCCAGCTGCTTTCGTTTTGCTCGCATCGTTATATTAGACACAGGGACGCATCTAGTGTCACTAGTCGCTCCTATCACATCGCCTTTGCGCGTGCATGGGTGCACACCAGCGCTGCAAAACACATGCGTTGCTCGAAACTGTTTTGTAACCCCACCTGAATTGAGTGAGGATGAGCTTAGAGTTCAAGGATGACAGCACCTCAGCTTCAAGTTTTATGGCGAGGATGTTTTGCATCAGTGCATCAGGCTGAAATATCTGCAGCCATTCATGGGTTTTTTTTGTTTTGTTTACGGCCTCAAATTGTCTGCTGTGCTTCAAGTGCGTAGCGACTGACCTTGATGCACAATCTTAGAGCTACTCTGGTTACGTGCGAGGTCTACACTTCATTGGGGCGTGGTGTACTTGCTTTGGCTGCATAGCTTCTTCTCGCAAGAAGGCCACAGGAGTACATTTGGGCGTGGACTATGGAGCAGCGTGAAACGTTTTAGAACTGAGTGATATTGTTTCCACATGTGTAATTTATGTATGTGCACATGTGTAGCGGGGAACATGGTGGTAGCAGAAGAAGAGGACGTTCGGTTGGTGGCATGAGCTCGCTGCTGCGCGTTCACTGCGGTATACCGTCGAGTCGACCATTACGTCTGCTTCGAATAAACCCCTCGTAGACGTAACAGAGTGGTGGAGGTGCTGGGTACGACACGTTGACGTACCATAGAGCCACAGCTGTTCGGAGTTCGCCGGAGCCGTCGTCTTGCCGGTCTGCCGCCGACAACAGTCGTCATGGCCCAGAGTGAAGGTCAAGAATCAACCGCCTCCACTTCGCGCCAATCTACACTGGCTACACCTGGGCATCACTACATGGAACCCCGCCCGTTCGCGGGAATGGCAGGAGAAGATGTGGACGCGTAGCTAACGCACTACAAAAGGGTGAGCCGGTACAACCACTGGAACTCTATCGATCATCTGGAAAACGTTGCGCTGTTTCTCACGGACACTGCCCTGATGTGGTATGAAAACCACGAAGAGCCCTTGACAACATGGGCTCTTTTTGCTCAAGAACTCAAGAAGTGTTTTGGTGACTCTGACTCGAAAAAGAAAAGCGCGGAGCGGATTCTTGCTAGAAGAGCCCAGACTCCTGGAGAAACCTGCACTGCTTATATAGAGGATGTTCTTAAGCTTTGCAAGATTATAAACCCACAGATGTCTGAAGAAGACAGGGTCGGACACCTATTGAAAGGCATAGCGGAAGGCGTTTACAATTTTCTGATAGGCAGCGATGACCTCACCTCTGCCTCCGATGTCCAACATCACTGCCGCACGTTTGAAAAATTGAAGACTCGTCACATCGCCCCGAAATTTGGTAGGCTGGCAAATGTGACAACGGTTGCCAGCGTCGACGTGAGCCCGCCCACCGACCTTGCCGCTACTATTCGTTGCAATTGTGCATGAAGAGCTGCAGCGACAAGGTGGTAGGGTTGGCGAAACCATTTCTCATCCACCTACCAATCCACCCTACTACACGGCGGCACCATCAGCTCCTTTGCCTTCATCGGTATGTGTGGCAGACATCAGCGAAACTGGAAATCCGCGGCCACGTCGTGACTCATTCGCGGCCGACCAGCGATATGGCCAACGCCTTCGGCACGGCCCCGCCACACAGAGGTGGGCAACTCCCTCTCAGCAAGCTCGTCACCAACCCTTCACAGCTGAGCGGTCTCAGCATTGGTTCGGCGAGCATCCTCTACCAGTCTGCTACAATTGTGGCTTCGAAGGACACATTGCCAGGTATTGCAACTACCGGCAGCCGCCAAGATACGACCGATCACCGAGATTTAACCGTTCTGGCGTTACCCGAGCATTGACATTCCCGGGAAGCGCGTCTTACGAGATCCCAGGACCGCTACGAAACCAATCTCCGGCCTCTGACCGCAGTGTGACACCACCACCTGCCCCTCGCGCCAACCAATCACCGTCTCCTCGGCGCCGCCACTCCTCGCCTCCTAGGGAAAACTAGCCGGCGCGGCCGTTGGAGGTGAGGTCGCCGGATAGTCTTCGATTTCAACAGATATACCTCCGTTGGCTTCCATGCTTAGAAATAAGGTTCGAGTGCTTATCGATGGTGTACCAACGATGGTGTTGGTGGACACAGGTGCAACCATGTCAGTGATGAGTTTAGTTTTCACCCGCCTTCTTGGACGAAAGGTTATGTTTCGTTGGGACCGTCCTGATACGTTCTGTGGAGTGAGCGGAGAGGTGTTACATCCTGTTGGTGTCTGCACTGTGACTGTTAGTTTGGCGTGCCAGAACTTTGTCACAGAGTTTGCTGTTCTCTCTCATACTACGCATGACGTCATTCTGGGACTCGATTTCTTGAAGCTATGTGGTGCTACTGTCGATTGCCGCACAGGACAAATTACAGTAGATTCTGATATCCCAGTTTCGTTTATAGAAAACTCGCCCTCTCAAGAAAGTGCTCTTTGCGTGTCTGTGGACACAACTGTGCCGCCGTTGTCTGCAAAATGTGTCCCTGTTGTCTGTTCACCTGCAAGCGAGAAAACATTTGACGCAACTGTGGAGCCCGTGCATCTCAGTTGCATAAAGAAGACAGTTTTAATACCCTACTGTACACTATCGATTGCGCAAGGGCATACTAGTTTATGGGTGATTAACTGCTCTAATGAACCTACAGTGCTGCCGAAGGGTCTGAAACTTGCAGAGATTCGTGAACACCAAGTATTCTCGCTTGCCACCCTCGCAGAAAGCAATGATTCCCCGGATAAGACCCGTTGCGATAATCTGCACGCCAGGGACACCACCATTATGGCTATGATTGATAAGTCACTCAGCACCAAGGAACGTAATGAACTGGTGAGTATTCTGCACAAACATGCCGGTACTTTTTATTTTGCCAGCATAATTCACAGTCATTCCCTGCTTCTGGTATAAAGCACCAAATCGACACGACATCTCACAGACCTCTCCGACAGAAACCATATCGTGTATCGCCTTCGGAACGCGCAGTGATCAATGAACAGGTTTGCGAGATGCTCAAGCAAAATGTAATTCAAGAATCATGTAGTCCGTGGGCCGCTCCAGTAATTCTAGTGAAGAAGAAGGATGGGACATGGCGATTTTGTATTGACTGCCGCCGTCTCAACGCCATCACTAAAAAAGACGTATGCCCACTCCCGCAGATTGATGATGCTATCGACTGTCTATCATCGGCCTTTTACTTTTCGTCTGTAGATCTGAGGTCAGGCTACTGGCAGATTCCAATGCACGAGGAAAACAAGGAGAAAACGGCATTTGTTACAACAGATGGACTATTTGAATTCAATGTGATGCCGTTCGGACTCTGCAACGCGCCCGCAACCTTTGAGCGATTTATGGACAACATTCTGCGTGGCTTGAAGTGGGAAGTATGTATGTGTTACTTGGACGACGTTGTAATTTTTGGGCGCACCTTTTGTAAGCACAACACACGCCTTGGCCTCATACTGGACTGCCTAAGCAAAGCACGCTTGGTGCTCAGCTCAAAGAAATGTCGTTTTGGAGAGCGCCAAACACTCGTCCTTGGACACTTAGTAAACAAAGAAGGCATATGACCAGATCCCGCCAAGACGGCCGCAGTGGAGGCATTTAAGCAGCCAAACTCGGTGAAAGAACTGCGCAGCTTTTTGGGGCTTTGTTCATACTTTCGCCGATTCATTCCTGGCTTTGCCAATATCGCATACCCGCTCACGTGTCTGCTTCAGAAAGGTGCGCAGTTTGAATGGTCCCCAGAATATGAGTCTGCTCTTTCGAAGTTGAAGTTTCTTTTGACGTCCCATCCAATTCTTCGACACTTCAGTCCTCTCGCTCCCACTGAGATTCACACAGACGCCAGCGGTATTGGTGTAGGTGCTGTCCTGGTTCAACGCTTGGATAATCAAGAACACGTCGTAGCATATGCAAGTCGCTCGCTCAGCAAGTCCGAGCGTAACTACACTGTTACAGAGCAAGAATGCCTTGCAGTAGTCTTCGCAGTGCAGTGCTTCCGGTCCTACTTGTACGGACGCCCCTTTACCGTCGTGACAGACCATCATTCTCTCTGCTGGTTGGTCAATCTGCGTGACCCATTTGGTCAGCTGGCGCGCTGGGCACTTCTTCTACAAGAATATGACTTCACAGTTTCGTATAAAAGTGGCCGATGTCACGCTGACGCAGATTGTCTTTCGCGACTACCGCTTCCAACGATGGAATGT